CATGTCGTAAGAGATTTTTGTTTTATGAACGGAGCATGACTATGATTTATGAATTGTACTTTTTTGTAGCCACGTTTACAGGCTGAGGTTTACATAGTCTCCTGGCGTTGTTTTACGGCTTTTTGGGGGGAAAACAATAAAGTTAACAATTTCAAAATTCAAGTAAATTCGTAATTATCGTTTCAGGATGTTAAAACAAGGGTTAAAATGCACAAGAAAAGAAAAGAGAAGAGGACTAATTTTTTTGTGGCGAACGTATACATAAAAAGCACCAGGCAACGCAAGGAACTTGACCGGGGCCGGCGACGCTGCTAACCGTACAACATTATTTCTGGACACGGTCGACCACATCCACCGCCGTGATGCGTTATGCGTGCCGTACGCGTATAATTCGAAAACAACCTGACGATTTGTCGTCTCTTTGGACTGAATAACGTTTGAGATTGTCGGTAAAACACGAAGAAAGTTGCGATAGGACTGTTGATGCTCATCTAAAAATCAAATGTTATCATGAACATAATACTTTGAGTCCTTGGATAAAACGTAGCTGGTTTTTTTTTTCACGCCGAACGTCGCAGACCGAACAACTCATCAGAGCCGCGTTGCCTGGCGTTTTCAGCTGGCCAGTTGCAGTATCCGTGTTTTTGCTGGTCTCTTTTTCGGGCAGTTGGGGCTCAAATTTATACGGAAGAACAGCTCAGATGTCACCGTGTCCTTGTTCAATATACTCATCCAAAAATTAAGCAATGGGAAGGAATATCAATCTCTGTGAGTCTTTTACAAAATGTTGATTTTTCACTGCTAGACTGCGAGTCACACGTGCTGACGGGGCGGGTTGGGCAGCAGTAAACAGTCGTTGTATAAACGAGTCCTGTTTATTACGTCACGCTTTTTCTGATTTTACGAAGAGCCCGACGACTGTTGATGTCATTTATGCGCTCGCCGACCAACAAATTACTCGATGAATTTCAGTTTTATAAACATATAAACGCACATCAGAAAAGAATGGGAGTTTGTCATTATGCTATATATGGGTCTACTCTACAATATAAAAATATAAAAAACAAAACGATTTTCAGCATTCCACAACCTCTTTAATTTTGTTTGCAAATGTTATTTATTACCTTTAACCAGAACATTGGTTGATGTGCATGGAATTTTGAACATGTATGTACATGTACCACTGTCCGTACTATTTTCAAGTGCCACAAGGGTTTTTCCACGGCAAAATCAAACACTTTCGATCTCAGGCTGTGCTCCGTGGTCATATATGGGTCGATGTGGCTGGCAGCCATAGGCGCCTTCACGTGCCAGCGGCCCGACCACGTTGTAGCTGCGTCCTTCGCAATTCAGCAAACCAGCTGCGAGTAAGGATGATTAGCCTCCCAAATTATTATTATTATTATTATTATTATTATTTTCATAAACTGTTATTTTTGTAGCAATGCAATAAAAACCTTAATCACTTTTGGATGAGAAAATAATCAATACTTTAGGCCAATGATTAGTTAGGAATAATTTTCAGCAAGAACCAGTCTGCTCATGGCAGAACTGTTTGTTCGCAAAAGGAACCCAAAATATAAGCCTTTTCTGAATAGGTTTGCATTAGTGACCGCAATCGGAAAAAGGATTTTTTTTTTCATTAAATAAAAACAACATCAAGTGAAAATTCAAAATGGAATTTGTTGAAGAACATATATACAGTACATCAAGCGCACCTGAGCAAGAAATCGCAGCACTTGTTTGTGAGTGCGTTGAACCGTGGTCAAATGTGTCGAATGTCTTCACTTTACCAACTGTGCAACCAACTGTCGACTCTTTGCGTGAAACGCAGATGGCAATGTGTGGCTAACTCGTGAGAGCAATATTAGAAGGATGCTTCTCTGCACACACTGATTTGAGGGCATGTGTGTGCAGTCGTGCAAAGAGTTAAACTTTCCAAGGCGCTTCAAAAATGTATGTACAGTATTCATTTGAAAACAAGTGATAAAGTCGTATTTTTATGAAAGTTGATAGAACATCAGTGCTATTAAGTGCAAAGGATCGCCACATTGCGCGGACACACGCCAGTTTTCATATAAGGAGATTTTTTAGTACTACTCGAGAGAGGCACATACCATAAACACAGCAAGAGGGGTGTTTAAAAAACGTGGAGTAAATTTGTTGAACAAAAATATTGGAAATTTATAACTTTTGACCAAAAGGTATTCATGAATGGGAGCTTTTGGCTCGGGCTGTTATCAGCATCCAGCCCCCAAGCCTGGTTTAAAACTGGTCAAGCACATAATTTGTTCCCTTATAAATTGACTTCCGAGCGCCATGCATGTAGGTGTAGAAGCACATTCTCACCATACATGTACGTGTACATTTTTGTATATGAGCAGTACAGAGTCTTCTAAAAGAATCCAGTGGATTTATTAGCTAGCGGTACCTTCGTGTCGACAGAGATCTGGCCCGGGGCGCGTAGTAAGGAAAATATTGTAGTGTGCTGTTACTTGATACCTAGCGGATTCGTGAGTGTTTGTGATTGAAATTCTCGACCAACATACCTGACTTTGATGTCCTTTTACAGGGACTTGTACCCCTTGGGCTAATACAAGTAGAAGCATGCTGACTCACGCTATCATATCACTTCATGTCTCACAGACACTGTCGAAAACGTGAACATTTGTTTTCATAAAATGAGCTTCATTTTGGGTGCACAACACAGTTAGATGGACACCGGTACCTATGCGGGGATACCGGTGCTGTCATGCATGTGGACGATTTTTTAATAACTGAAGTCGATATCACGGGTGTGCGTCCATTTTAGAAGAGCACTGTATTCTAAACCTTCTTTTCAGGCCAAAAATCACAAAATGAGCATATTGTGTTTCTGCAAATTTCCAAATGTATTCTCCGCCGTCTGTTTGCAGACCTTCAGATCTCATGTATGCAGTGTGCATGTACATGTACAGGGGTGAAATTTGTCAGGATTTTATCCTGATTTCAGAATTTTTTTGGTCAAGATTTTTCCCGATTTTAGCATATTTACCTATGAAAGTTTTATATAGAACAAAAGGAATGGGTATTGTAAGGGGTGTCTTTAGGCATCTGCAACCTCAATACCATAGACCCTACCGTACATGCTCCAGGCCCTCGGCGGCCCTCAAACCCTCTGCCGACTATTTTTCATGGAATTTTGTATGCGGCTTGCCATAATTCCCATTCGATCAACTGCATCTATCAAGGAATACACTTGCTCAAACCAGATTTGCCTGACGTTTTAATCAAACTTACTGCCAACTGGGCAATTCCACGGTTACATTTTTGATGTACTTTTGAGTTTCCTTGGGCTGTAATTACCTTACTGAAAAGGTTTAATAACTGTTATCCCCATGGTAGATAGAGTAGACCCAGACCTACCTAAGCACCAAAGATGACATCCAGAAAAATGTGTAATGTATGATAAACAAGACACACAAAATCGGTTACTCCTGTTACATTTTCGTAACGTTTCTTTCAGTAAGGTAATTACAGCCCAAGGAAACTTAAAAAGTACATCAAAAATGTAACGTGAGTAACCGTGGAATTGCCCGACTGCATTTTTGTAGCTGTCTGAACTGTCCTTTTGTCACTTCTTTTGTACGTAAATATATGTTTCTGAATATATTCAAAACATATTTTTATTGTGTATACAATATATTTGTCATGTTCGTATTTGAACATGACAATGTACCGGTATGTGCAAACAAGTGATGAGGATCGAGTGATGTATCGGGAACATGCTTGTCTTACAGACAGGCAGTACTCCTATTTCACAATCAATTTAACGAGTGGAAGGTGAGATGCAAACTTTCATACAACTTTCTCCACTTAATTCCCAGGCACCAATCAGTTCTAGACATACCTTGAACATTGAATTCCCCTCCCTTCCTACCCACTCTCCCCACCCCCCCCCCCCTTCCTAATAATGTAATCAATGACATGAGATACAGTCTGGTCGCTAAACGTGATCCGAACGCGGCCGTGCCTGTTACAAGAATGTGGCCCTATCGCCATCTCATGGATTAGATTGTGCAGATACCGGGCACATCGCTCCTGGACTTGTGAAAATTGTCAGGTTATGTGTCCGACCCCGAAGCACAAGTTGCTTTCCCTGTTCCGTCTGTGAGGCTGGTAAAATGTATGCTATCTTTGGGGAAGGCGTGAATACCTAGACATTAAGAAAGCTGAGCACTCAAAATCACTGAAACCAGTCACGTTCGTGATATTTATGATTTAGGTCTGGGTTTTAGGACAATTGAGTGCCATTACCATCTTGTGCTCATGCATACATTCTTCTCACGTGCGGAAGATATGTGCATTTTTGCAAGTCATTTGAAAATTAGTAGGTTTGGTTCCACCTTTCGCCTTTCTGTCATCCATTGGCATTCATTGACTTCAGTCCTCTCATGAACATCCCTGAAAAAAAACAACTTTAATTTTTTCCAGTGTGTGGGCAGCTTATGGTGAATTAGGGTTCGATGCCACGCTGGAAATCTGAGAAAACTTTGAATAAGGGTTTCTATTTTTCCAGTCAGGGAAAACTCTGGGAATTTGACAGTGACTCAGAAGGAAAAGATTTTCGACAGTTTGGCTTATGTGTATCTTGTACCGTGTTTCCAAGTTGTGTCCATTGACCAACTGGCTAAGGTAGCTTTTTGTGTGTGAGAGAATATTACACAGTCCTTTAATTTATACACACTGCTCCAGAATATAACAATTGGCTGTGCACACAACCTCTTAACTTACCAACAACCTCGTTAAAGTGAAATTATTTCTCACGGAATTTTGAACATTCCTCAGGAAAACATCAGAGAAAAGTCAGGGAATTTTCTTTTTCACAAAAAAGGCAAAGTGCTGAGAGCCAAATACATTGTATCCAATGTATGCTCCTTTTCACTTGTTTATGGTATGCACATGTCCATGACTTTGCGCACTTGATTAACTCAATTTTGAACTCCTGTTCTCTTCCGCAGGCCATGCCGTGGAACCCTATCGATGCCGTCCCCGCCTAACCATGGACAACGAGCTCCCCCGTCAGGAACTGGTCAAATGCGTGGTGGTGGGCGACAGCTCCACGGGCAAGACGCGCCTCATCGTCGCCCGGGCCACCAAGCGGGCCATGACCAGGGCCCAGCTGTTCCAGACCCACAAGCCGTCCGTCTGGGCCATTGATCAGTATCATCGTTGCCAGGAGGTGAGTGGATCGCGGGTCAAAGGTCATGTGAGGTCACTGGGGTCAGTTTGATTTTTTTTGTCAGACTCACAAGCCCTCTGGGAGCAAGTTTTGGGGAGGACCATTAGTCGACTTTATGATGCAACTTACGCCTGCGCACTTAACGTGCGAGCGTCTCCAGTCACTAAACTTCTTGGTCCTGGCTCCCCGTTGTGCATTATGATAAGCGCTGCTATTGGTTACCAGTGATGCGGCCTTCCCCCAGACTCCAGTTCAAAATAGTCGACAGGAGCAGTCCAACCTCCTGCGTTCGAGTGAAGTTAGTCGAACTATGGTTAACCGTAGTCCTTGCTCCAAGTTGCTGTTGGCTGTTGATCAATATCACTGCTGCCAAGAAGTGGGTGGGTCAAAGGTCATTTGAGGTCATACGGGTCATTACCACCACCCTCCCCCTTCCCCATGCTTTGATTTTTTGTCTTCGAGACAAAAGGCGGACCAGACAGGACTGCTGTTTGGCAAGTAGAAACCCAAGTTCGTTTTTGTTTTCACATTTCCCCTTCCCAAAAAAACAAAATGAGAAGAGAAAACTCTTTGAATTTTTGGCTTACGTCTTGCGCATGCTTGGACACAAGTGTCGTAAAGTTGGATGGACTGTTCCCACAAAATGGTACTTGAAATTGTCAACTTTTTCACTTAGTGTTTATAAAGGGTGCTTTGTCCTGAACTGAAATGTGAAAGATTTTTGTGAAATTTACAAAATATTTTCTGATTCGGTAATTTGGAAGTCTACAGGCGTACTCGTGTTCAATTTAAAAAAAGTGTCATTGCATGGTGGCAGTTGTAGCGTTACGAAAGTGTATAATGTCTGTGACAGAGACAGTTAACCGTGATATCTAATTAATGATTCAGAGAAATGATCCAAAACTCCTAGTCTGTAATCTCCTTACTACATTGTAGATGATGGATGTATTTAGATTTGAAAAATACATTCTCGGGTTTATTCACTGAGCTCTTAAAAACAATTGCCCCTGGTTGAGATCTGGGGCAAAATACCCGCCCCCTCCTTTCTCCTTGAACTTGAGAAGGTACGTGCAGGAAACTCTGCTCTTTTTGGATTAATCTTTGAACGCACTCTGTCAAATGAACTGCACATGATACATGAATGCGTGTGCAGTTGTTTTCACACAAAATATGTGCAGTGAAAGTGGCAACATCAACACCTGGGCGTGTTTACGTCTGTGTCATAAACTCGGACCATTCACACGTCATTGTGTAGCCCATGATCTAATCACCGGGTCAGGCGCTGGACTCACAATTGAATTGCGTCTCCCCCAACATGTGTTAATTCTCGGCTCTCGTGGGGTTTTTCTCATTCCATCCAGGTGCTTGAGAATTCGTGGGAGGTAATTGACGGCGTGAGCGTGTCGCTACGACTGTGGGACACGTTTGGTGATCATGAGAAGGACAGACGCTTTGCCTACGGCAGGTTGGTTCGCAGTCTGTATTTCCATCGACACCGATGCATACATTATGTTCTAAACGTTGCCATTTCCAGGTGATTAGGACGAAGCAAGTCACAACTGGACTATTTTCTGACTTCTAGGCCACTGACAGCCTACAGACATTAATTAGTTAACAGCATTTCTATGGAGTACTGAAGTGAATATGTCACGCGCACAAAATGTGCGTGAAAGACATTAGCGCGTGATTCAGCCCGTGAAATAACATGCGCGCGTACCCCATTCATTTGCACTACACTTTCTGGTTCTAAACGACATCACACTTTGGTACTCCATATTGGCTTTTTAACTGAAGTGAAAAAAATTCAGCTTTGTCAAAGGACTTTGGGGTCTACAATAAGCCGTAGGTTCTACAATAAGCCTTTTCGCAATTTCAACTTCGGGTGTGCACAACAAGAGTTTTATGAGAGATAAACAAAGCAGCATGCGAGTCTATGTGGTACGTGATATTCAAATCTGCATACTGCAATTTTTCATCAAACCAAAACGAAGATGGAAACTTTTGTTCGCACAATATTTGAAGCAAACAAAACATTTGAAGCCATGGTGCCTAAAAAAAAAAAATGAAAATTTTGCCTTTACTTCAAAACAAGAAATTTTCGTTGGTACCCTGCTATGATTTTGCACGCATGTGGCAAACTGTTTATCTCTCGAAACGAAATCGTGAATCATGATGTGTGCACACGCATTTAAATTGCAAAAAAGGCTTATTTCAGATTCAAATTGAAGAGTCCACAACACGGGGGAAAAAATAAGGTAGACTTTCCGAGCGGAAACTGTCATGGAAATTTTAAACTTTTTTTGAGCACTGCATGAGGGGAAAAACAGTTGTTTTGGACGTTGTTAAGAAGTTATATAATACTCAGGCATATAGAAATGATTGCTGTGTTTTCTAAAGTGGCTGTGTAGCCTTCATGTGAAGAAAAAACTTCAAACTCGTAAAAAAATTATTTGACTTGCTTTTTTTTAGTCAATCCCTGAAATCATTTTGATTTTTCCTCATCCCTTACACCAAACATACGTGTACATAATATACAAACAAGGTATACGTGTACAAGTGCGTATTTCAAGTTACATTAGCACATGCATGCTAAACAGAAAGAGGACACGTGATGGACTTTTGAACCAGATGTTGTGAAATGTCAACATATTGTTATAAAATACTGCGTGCTCAGTGCTTTTCAAGAGTTGTGTTAAAAAAAAGACAATGCAATCTTACTCGCCAAATTCAACAGGTCTCGAATTAATCCTGACAGTAGTATTTTGAAAAAAACAAAACTACATTTCAATCTTTCCAACCATGATAATTTTACAAGGCAGTGCCTAATTACATTTAGCACTGCATCACAGCACATCGTGATCAAATGAAAATGACAGATAAGCGCTCCGTTGATGGGCAAACCAGTAGCAGTTATGTGAAGAGCGTAATTGAGGTCAACTGTAAGGCCGCTGTCACTCGATACAATTTCATTACAATGTAGTGAAATGGAAATTCAGCCTGTCCCATTTTCAGCAAGTGTACTTGTCCTTGGAACTTCACACCCAACATGGAAATGTAAGCAAGGAGTTTAATTCACTGTACCACTCCAAAGCGCCCTGCCTGTTACTCCTTGTACCGCCCCAAGCCGCCCCAGCACTCTGGTTCTATGGCTTCATCAAGGAGTTAATACAGTGTAGTACAATGTAATACAAGTCTTAATTGGTTAAACAGGTGTAATGGCGATCTATACTGGAAGCTGAGCTGGTGCTTGTGCTCTTGAGCAAGGCACTTTACCATTATTGCTTCGTCCTTCGGATGGGACGTAAAGCCGTAGGTCCCGTGTGTTGTGTAATGCACGTTAAAGAACCCAGTAACACTTATCGCTTAGAGGAGGGGTTTGCCCCTGTGTTTCTGGCAGTGGCTGCAATATGCGCCGCAGCACCTTGTAAACCCTTATAAGGTGCTACATATTGGGTCTTATATTTCTCATAAACTTTATTTACCTTTCTTTAATAATAGACATAATTTCCAGCGCCTTGAGTACCTAATTGTTGGTAGATACGTGCGCTATATAAGACTCCAGTATTAATGTAAGTGAGGACCAGCAACAGCCACTAATGTATGAGGCGTTGGTTGTTGGTACAAAATCAAGTCAATCACAAGTCAATCAAACATGAAATGACTAACAAAAATGTGGTGCTTATTAGCGCTTTATATTGAAAGGTCTCAAAGTGCTTGGTAATTATTACCCCTGTTCATCAGGCAATGGAACCTTTTTTTTTCTGCAGCAGCTCGAGATCAATGCAACCTTGTCTCTACCTTCACAGGTACCAATTTTCTTGTTCTGCAACTGTGGGGACTACAAAGTTGTCCCATGGTCCTATGGGGACCGAAGACACTGTGGGGACAGCAGAAAGTCCCCATAACTCGGTCGTGATTACCCTAACAATGAAAAACTTGCCCATAACGACGGCCGGCCCACACATACACTCCTGGGTTAAGAGAGGCAATTGTAGTAAAGTGTCTTGCCCAAGAACACAAGCACCATGTTCCCCGTCAGGGTTCGAACCCATGTACCACAGCATGCGAGTCAAACACTGTAACCATAGGACCAAGGTGTTACTCTTGTCAGGTCACAAATAATTTAGGGAATAAACAATGACAAAAGGAATTCCTTTGTCTCAGTTCGTTTGAAAAGCTTTCACACTTAAAGGGAAAATACAACATTTGCAAACATCAAAAAATAAAACTACCAAATCATTTTGAAATACCTTGCTGGACTGTTAGTGAATGACAGTGTAAAGCATCCTGTAAAATCATGGCACCTGGTATACTGTCATTTTCAAGAAAAGTGGTATTTTTGTATCAATTTCCAACGCTGATCGGCCGATGAGCGTTGGAAAAAACTGGCTTTTTTTCAAATACTGGCCCCAATTGACCATCGCACTTGTTTGCAATCGATTACAAACCTATGAACGGGTACGAGCCAGCTAGACTGGTTCCCTGACCTTACAATTCCCCAATGTATGTAAACTGCTCTGTTTCTTCTTATATGGAGTCAGGGAACCAGACTACAGGAAAATGATTGTTTTTCTTGGTTTTTATAGCATTTTCGAACCCAAAACCTCAAAAAAGTTAGTGTAACTATATTTGCTAAACATTTCCAACCCCCCAATTCCATCCATTTCTGAAAATTACAGCAAAAGCAAATGTTGTATATTCCCTTTAAAGAATAAAAACTGGTTTTGTTTTGTGACTTGTGATTGAACTGTATTGTGATGACTTGCGATTGACTGCATTACGACTCCAAAATTGGTGTTGAAGGTCAAGGACCCTGACTCGGTAACAGTATCCCAAATAGTCTGGACTGACTCCTTTGGGTGTCGCCATCCTTCCTGTGTAATAACCATATGCTTCCTGGCGATGACTGACTGGCCAGTTGGCTCCAGACTCGATAGTTCCTGTAATTGTCCAGGGTTAGATTCCTTGATAGCAAACTGGGGATGTACATGTACATGCACCAGGGTACTTCTGGTTGCAACTCAAGGGCTGTTTCACACTTGCCATGAATCTCTGGGTCACCCCCCCCCCCCCCCCTAACCAAATCCAGGATTGTTTTGTATTGCCGAGATTGCACTCGCAGCTAGCCAGGCTGGAGTTGACCTGGACAAGGTGCTTTCAGCCGTATAAAAAGCGCTGGTCAAAGAGCGCCCTCTCTTGTTCTTTCATGGAGTCCATTGTTCAAATAAATTTAATTACAATGTAATACAGTGTAACAAAAAGTACAAGCATGGCAGTGTTCATGTACATTCCCAAAACCTGCAAAGACAAATCTGCTAGACAGGAAAGTAACTGAGTGGCACATTTTTAATAAATAAACCCCAGTAAAAAGTCATGCATAGCCCACACAGTTGTGCTCAACATTTGTAGGTGCTCTACATTTGTAGCCTATTGGAGGCTATTGAACTCATCAGATCAAATGCCGAATTTGTAGAGATTGCTTTACAGTTTGCAGAAAAGCTGAGTTCATACAGATACAAGCGTGATAAAATCTGATTACACTACCTGGACGTGCTGACACCTGGCGCGGCTATTTCTGGTGTTGCCTCACACATTCTGCCTCTGCGTGTGCTCCTTGCTGTGCTTCTGCTCCCAGCATCCTTTAGGGAGGTTTCATTGCTCTAGCAGATATTTCAAACTTTAAGCGATACTAAAGTGCAATACAATGGGCACAATTGATTTCTTGCTATCCTTTCCTTCGACCATTTATTAATTCTCGCTTGTTTCTTGTTTTATGTGTATCTCTCTGTCAGAGCTGACGTGGTTCTCCTGCTGTTCTCCGTGGCCGATGCCATCTCCCTCCGGAACACCACCCGGGTCTGGCTGCCAGAGATCCGCCACTTCTGCCCCCGGGCTCCCATCATTCTCTGCGGCACCAAGAACGACCTGCGGTACGCCGACCTGGAGGCGCTGCTCAAGGAGCGAGGGCCTGTCAGGTAAGAAGAGAGAGAGAGATAGCATGGAGGCAAGAACTACCTGCTAAGAGGACATGACAAAGTCTTTGAGGTTTTTCCAAAGTTTGGCTTCGCCTCTGTCTTAGGCGTCATCTCTGGCTGTCGATTGTTTTTTAGGCTTAACCTTCTTGGTCTTCTGCACTTCACAACCCTTCAAGTTTTGCAAAATCCTTTGTAAAAACCACTTTTGCCCATAGAGCTAGCACACACACTTTAAAACCCTTTGAGGTAATCTGCTGTGGACTATGGATGACTCTTCAGATTCCTGCACAATTCTTTGGTTAAGGTTAAGCTCAGGGCAAGCAGGCAGATTCGGTCGCCTTTCACTGCTGAATTTTTGTGTAGTGATTCTCTGTGTGACACAGTTACTTTAACACTTCATATCCCCTCACCTGAAACTGACCTGAAACCCAGGGTTTAAAACTTACAAAAAAAAGTATTAAAATAGTGAATATTTGGCCCCTTTCTCATTTAAGTCAATCGTCATTTATGAGTCTTGAGTCCAAATTAGAGCTACTTTTTAGTGTGACTCTAACAAAAAAAGTCGGAGACACAAATCCTACAATTTCTGACCCTAACGTTTTATCACATAGACCAATTACTGAGAGTTATCACTAAATGCCATTGTTTACAAATGTCTGTTCAAACTGTACATAAATCTATGGTCACAATTTTTGGGTTTTTTTGCAGCCACCAGTGCACCAAGCACCGACCTTTTGACCCCAAGGGAATAGTCTCTCCCTCAGAGGGCCGACAATTTGCCAAAGAGATCAACGCCTTCTACTACGAGTCCAGCGCCTACACACTGTACGGCGTGGATGAGGTGTTCGACAACGTGGTCAGGGCAGCCCTCATTGCCAGACGACAACACCGCTTCTGGCAATCCAACCTTAAAAAGGTAAAAAAAATTAAAAATAGCAAGACAAGGCAAAGCTTATCCCAGAGCGCACAAAGTTTTCTTCAATCCTGCCACCATTTCAGTCATGTTCCCTGTATCCAATAACAGTACTGAATGATAATGGTTTTTTGTGCAAAAAGGAACCAGACTATTTGTCATTCCAGCCTCGCTTTGGCTACATTGATTTGAATGGGAAAAAATCAAGATGGCCGCAAGGTGATAGCAGACTATTGATTCAGTATGGCTATTCGCTTAAAGTCTTTTCATGCATCTGGTCTACATAATGGGCCGGATTTAGCCCATTCATTGGCGTTACAGGGTTATCCTATATGATAGCACTGCCCGGCTCAAAAGCGACAATCAGTCAGTGAGTTAGTGAGTCTGTCCGAGTCACACTCTCTGGCCCTCTGAGACCAGCAAAAAAACCCCAGAAATGTTGAAAAGAAACAACCGTTCCAACAGATCATTGTAGACTTGATTAATATTACGGGCCTTTAGACACAGCTTGGATAAAGGTGAATCAGTGAAAAGTATCAATGCTTTGAGCAGTTGCACCTTTTGAAACTTCACAATCTGTACTTTAGTGTACAAATAATTAATGTTTATGAGTGCAATGGTAAGAATAATTTCATGAGGCGACAGACCGAATGTTCCATTCCACGAGGCGAAGATTCGTATAATTGGACATTCCATCTGTCACCGAATTAAATTATTCTTTCCATTGCACGAATGTGAAACGTGCATTATTTATTTCATACAACACTTCAATAAAACCTCGTCATCTGATTGGTCAGAACCTCCAATCATGTGACACTGCAATGGGACATTTAACTGCAGTGTGGCTGGGCCGTGGGTTGGTACAAATTATTCAATGACATGTGATCAATGACCCACCAATCAGATGACAGGGATCTAGTCAGGCATTGTATAAAATAAATTTAACAATTGTGATGTTGTTTATGAATAACATGGAAGTAAAACATTGTTTTGGTAAATTTCAAGTTCGAATTTGTTTTTAATTTCTTCTTGTTTTTGTAACTTAATTATGAATATGCAAATTGGTGTTTATTCCACAAACGGCGCATACCGTAGTGTGGAGATCCAACTCATACCAAATTAAGGCTAACTATTACTCGTGTAAAACCTTTACTGAATTTTGCAACTTGGGGCACCCTATTCCAAGTATATAGCAGGTAGAATGTCAGAAATGCCAAGTATGAAATGTGCTTAGAGCTACAGACACATGAAAAAAAAAAGTTGTCGGGTGACCTACTTCAAAAGAATTTCAGTGTAAAACAGGATCTTTCTGATGCCCAGGGCAAAGCAAGTCAATAGAAATGTTTCAGATCACATTTGACACATTCTTTTGATGGAGGAATTGGACCTAATGCTGTTACGGACGAGGACAATTTGAATTACTATAGAAATATTATGTGACCGTCTGATGTTGAAATGAAAATTTATAGATTAAAGGCATATATGGGCTCACGTGGTTTTCATGCATTTTGTTTGTTTCCAATAATAACATCACTTAAAACCCTAAGACGAATGTTCCAAACCTAACCTGTTGAAGTTTCAGCTCGGTGGCTATTACAGTTTTCGACCAAACAGTAAAACATTGGAAATCAGCTCATTTCTTGATTTTCTTCTAAACGAAAGCAAGCCAGACAGCCAGACAGAATAATTTCACGTGGTGTTTAGTACCAGTACGATCTTTACTCCAAGTAAGCTATTTGATAATAATTTGGTAGGTTACTTTTGGGATAAATGCAAATGATCTAACATGCTTTTTCAGTGAAACAGACATAAAAATATCAATATGTCATAAGGTAGCTATGTTCAATATTGTATTATTTTTTACCTATGCTTGAAAATTATTTGCGGTCTTGAAAAGCCTTTTGTTGACTTTCTCGCAAATTTTGATTTTATCCTTGGTTTGCATATCTGTGTTCAGCCCTCACATCCTCACACGGGTCCTTAATCCAAGGGAAAATGATTACCTTTTAAAAAATTCTACAAATGGATGTCAACATTTTGTTGTGTAAGTTGATTTAAGGCTAAGTAAAAAAAAAGTAGTTTCTCGTCTGGGTTTTTTAAAAAGGGAGGAGACGTCCCTTTTTTTTTTTAATAAGATGGTTTTTTTTTAATAAGATGGCAGATTTTCCAAGACGGATATTTCCATTTTCTTGACTCTTTTGCTGATACATTTGTGCCCAATGGAGCTGTCACCCTTTCTACCAGAGTTTGAACTTGGTACTATACAGTTTTGCTGGAAACACATAAAAAGTCAAAATATATTGGATGTATGATTTATAAGAAAATGGGGGGGGGAAAAGGAGGCGGCCGGGAAAAAAAGGAAGCGGGCGGGGACAAAAAACGAGTTTATGTTTATAGTTGGCCTAATCAGCCATTATTTCTTAATGATTTCTCCCTCTTATTTCTTTTTTTCTCTCTTCAGGTTCAGAGGCCCTTACCGCAAGCACCTTACTTGCCCCCTTGCCCAAATGAGCCACGTGTCGTGGTCCCACCCACCACCTACGATAACGACATCTCAAGCCTGCTGAAGGACCTGACGTGCGCGGACGTGACATTTGTCGTCCAGGGAGAATACATTCACGCTCACAAGGTAACTTTAGATAAGTTTATCAACCGTTATCATCTTCAAATGTTATATTGTGTCTTGGATATTGTAATTGGGCAATAGCACTCCGCACTAATGACGTCAATTTTGCTCCGCGCCGTACGTGCGCATATTCCGCATGTCGGACACAACCTGTGTCAGAGCATTTGAGGTCCAGTAGGAAAATTTGTAGCACCAATACAGTCAAGGTTGTTAAAAATAACATTGCACCCATACATTCTGTCTTCTTATTGGCCATCAGTGATCAAGTTGTGTGTTTGTACCCTAAGGTGTGCCTCATAGCAGCCTCCTCTGTCTTCCACGATCTCTTCATGTTGGACCTCTCGGACCAGTTGGACAGTTCGTCCTCCCAGGATCCTGAGGGCCAATCCTACAGCGCGGGGCAGCACTGGTCCAGCCCCTCCCCAGTCCCCCAACAGCTCATGTCCACCTCGCCGGACATCATCGAAACCCCACCTGACAACTCGGACCACCACCCCCACCCCCACCACCAGCGCAGCAACTGCGACAGAGACAGAATCATGCTGGAGGAGGGCTGCCTGAGCCTCTCCCCCAACGGCAATACGTGTGTGATCTCGGTGCGCCCGAAGACCCGCAGTGGTGCCCCGCCCTCCGCGGGTACACCCCACGCCTGGCGGACAGACCGTTCCGGTTTCCAGGACTCCATGGAGGGGGAAAGCAACGTGCCGACCTCGCCGGAGATGACCATAGTGCCTGCCAGTCTGCGATACCTCCCCAACAAGGTCCTGAACCACCCGGCCTTCCATTCCATCCACCTCCAACAGGCCGAGGACCCGATCACGGGCCGGCCCAAGCTGCGCAGCGTGGTGGTCCTGAACCACAAAATCACGCGGGATGCCTTCCGAGCCGTGCTGCGATTCCTCTACACTGGCTCGCTGAGTTCAGACACCTCCAGCAACCTGAGCGACGTGATCACAGCAGCTTCTCTTTTGGACCTGTCGGACGTGGTGTCAGCGGTGGCCAACATCAAGCACCAGGAGGAGTACATGAATCTGGAGATCGCCGAGGCCTTCTTGGAGAGCAGGAGGGACAGATTCAGGGAGCTGTTTGCTGAAAAAGGATTTCTTTCAGGTAATCGTACATGATCACTTTGGAACATACATCTTAGCAAAGTTTACAACCAACCATTTATTGGTTGTTTTATTAGAGGAGAATTGAAATTCTCCCCTGAAAGTTTTGGCGTTTCACCCTTTTGTTGAGGGATTTACTCCACCTTAGAAAGTTTTGTCAAACAAAATGAGAACAAACGCAAATTCAGTTTCCACCATCCTCCAATGGATTTGTGTGCAAGTCCCCCTCTGAACAGCGACAAATGGAGAGTTGGCAGATTCTTGCTGCTTTACGCCAAGTGCCTCTGCAAAACCAATCGTGCACCAAAACAAAATAATAAATGAGATGTGCACACTCTGTTCAGGTACTGAGTCCATAACATTTTCAAATTGTTCGCATTTAAATCGCTATTCTTTCAGCACAGAAATTGTTTATTTGCAAAAAGATAATGCCCCAACTCAAAAGTAGTTTGGTGAGCACCAAAATTTGTTAATGTGCATGGCGGCATTCCCTTTTTAGTCATGGGAGGCACCTCCAAACTCCAGCTCCTACTAGATTTGCTTTGGATGTTGCCGTCCAGTTTCATCATGGTAAACGACCCAATACCTAGAAAAGACCTTGTCATCGTCCCTGGCTTACCTGGCTATTAGCAGGTAGCTGATACTGTGAAGTTGCACCCAAGCGATTGTTGGTCCCTTGCTTGTGATCGGGGAGGTTGGATTGGAAGTCACTACGACCCTCTGATGTTCTTGTGCAGCTGCAGTAATAGGAAGTAGTATTTAGAAGTATGCAGGGTGTGCAGGCATTTTTAAGCACTAGCTCGAGTAATGCTATGTTATTGTCTCCATTGCTGTGTGATTGCCCAGATATGGTGATCAAGCTGGATGACGGAGCCGTGGTGACCCACAGGAGCCTGTTGATGGTACGCTGTGACCCCATGCTGGCCATGCTGAGCAGACACTTCAAGGAACGATCCTGCCAAGAGGTAGGTTGACAATCTCAGGGCCCAATCTGATGGAGCTGATAAAGCATAGAATAATTGCTAAGCAAATGTAGGAGCTAAACAAAAAATAGGCCGAAAATCAGTCAAAGCAGTGTGGGGGCATTCTATAAACGGAGGGTTCAAAGTGTGACATTTCTCCTGCCCCTGTTACCTTGGTACTTTGTAATTTGCCATTCAAGTATCATTAAGAATGATTTAAATTATTTTTTTTTTTTGTTAAGTAGGTAGTTTGCGATTCATAATCACTTTTGGAGGACGATTTTATCAAAGAGTGCAACAGAATGAAAAATAAAATTGTAGATGTTAGATGCAACATGGACAGGAAAACATGTGATCCCCAAATTGACAGAATGACCTTGATACATCAAATTGGTTCTGGTAACTTGCTTTGACCAAGGGAAATGTTCTGTTTCTTGTTATGCTTACAATTGACACTTGTACTACATTGTGTTACATCATATTTATTTCTGGATGATACCACAAAAACAATGGAGTGTTTACGCGATTTCCGGAATATTGGGCAGAGAGGTCTGGTTGAACAGTGACTAGTGAGTTGAAAAAAAAACAAGTTGTAATTCTTGAAGGCATATAGGATCATTTGCATTTATCCCCAAAACAACCTGCCAAATTATTATTAACACGCTTACTCAGATTAAACCTAACAAAAATGCATGAAAAGCAAATGATCCTATGTTCTTTTAAAAAAATTCAGCATCTTGATTTGACATTCATGATTTCTTACCCCTGATCTTTGACCTTCCTGCAGGTCATCCTGCAGGGCTTCAGGAAGAGCACCTTCAAGGCGGTGCTGGTCTACCTCTACACTGACCAGTGTCCCGACCAGCTGACCCGCAGCGACATGCTGTCGGTCATCGAGCTGGCCAACTTCCTGTGCCTACCCAGGCTGGTGGCGTTGGCCGAGCAGTGCCTGATCCACAGCTTCCGAGGGGAGGCCGCCGAGAAGGACGGGGACATCGGGGAGAACATCTCCTACCTGCTGGAGACGTGCAAGGTATGACACGAGGCCACTAACATACATAAATGAATGAAGAAATTGGGGGGGGGGGGCTAATGTTACTTACTCGCAGCAGCAGCTGAAATGCGAAGGACGCGGCTACAACGTTGACGAGCTGAAGGCATGTAAAGGTGCCTTAGGTTGCCACCAAAAGACCCATCCGCCAAACGACCCATGTCTGATAACGAAGCACAGCCAGATGGAATTATTTCTCCAGTTTCCTCCCTTGTACTGCCTTAACCCTTGGCTAGAAACCCTGCCAAACGCAGCAACATGCAACACTTGTTAAAATGACAAGTCTCCCCAGTGTTAAGCAAGATCCAAAAGTCCAAAAGTCAGGCCAAAAGTCTGAAAGGCCAAACTGCCTCAGAGTCCGTGGTTGTGTCTGGCAGGGTTCGGGTTGTGGAACATGCTAGAACCCTGTTTTCCCCATCATATGAATGATCTCAAGCATAATGCTTACAGATTCCTTTTTCCTCTGTAATTATATGTTCCTTCTTCCTTCATAATGGCCTTGTGGTCGATGATTTGCAAATAATAAATTAATGAATAAGAAATCTGTATAGACATAAAAATGCTTACTTGACGTCAGTGTTGTATTTGAGTCCATCGAACGTCCTTCACAAGTCAGGATAAAAAAAATGCAAAGGCATACCTTTGTCACAGGTTGTTTAAACCTTGTCTTCTGCACTTTTCAATCTTGCAAGTTTTGCAAAACCACTTTTGCCTGTGGAGTTCAGCACCCACACTTCAAATTTTTTTGAGGTAATCTTCTGTGGAGTATGGATAACACATCAAATCCCTGCACAAAGTTTTTGTCTGGTTAAGCTGCGGGCAAGCAGGCAGATTCAGTCACGCTCCACTTCTCCGCAGTGCTGGGTTTTTGTGCAGTGTGACTCTCTCTGTGACACAGTTACTTTGACATTTCATACCCCTTCATCTGAAACAGACCTGCAGGGGTTTTAATGGGTTTAATTACATATTGGGAAAGAATGTTGCAACCTGACGCTACTTCACCGGTTGTGTACAAAGTCCATGGAGAGTCAAGAACATTTTCTAAGTATTTCCTAACAAAATTGGAAATGTTTCTCAGTCCCAGATTCATGTCTTATCATCATTTTTGCAATGACTGACCTCCATTGAGATGATATATGTAGAAAAAAGCAGCGTCAGGCTGCAACATTCTTTCCACATGTTGCTCTGAATATTGACTTCCTCCTAGGAGGGTTAATAGCCTGCGACTTGACTTAGCACAGGGGTGCATTTTGGCGGTCATAACCAAGAATTGGTTCAGTGGTTTCTTGTCTTTGAATTTCTTCGGTAAGTTTAATTGGGTTAGAATTATGCGTGATCATGTAGTACTCAAATCCCCGAAAAAAATTAACCAAAGAGAAACCACCGAACCAATTCTTGGTTATGACCGCCAAAACGCACCCCTGGATGACTTGTGATTCACTTGTGAGGACTTACTTGTAACTTTTGCCGGACTCGACTACAACACTCTATGACTCTTCACGCCCCTTTCTGCAGGTCCACAACGCCAACCAGCTCTACCTGTGGTGCGTCCACCACACGGCCATCCACTACGACGACATCAACAAGAAGCACCCGCGGCTACTGCGGGACATCAGCCAGGAGGCCTGCAAGCAGATCAACTGCCAGCGCTGGCCGCCGCTCTACTACCTGAACGAGATCGAGGAGTTTGAGCAACAGCAGCGAGAGAAGAAGAGGCTTCAAGACCGAGCCAAGAAGCACAAGTGGTGTCTCAAGTGAATCTTTTTTTCTGGAGATTCTTCTCCGTCGAGTGGGCATTACCAGTTTTTTGGGGGCAGAGGGTTTTCTTTTTTGGAGGGGGGAGGGGGGTGTCATACAGAGGGTGTCTGGAGAGGTGCACGTGAACCAATTCCATGTCAAGGGTGACTTTTTTTTTATATAATCAAGTTAGGATTCTTTGGAAGATTATAATGTAGAAAATCATTCTGAGAAAAAAAAGCAACTCGCGAGGCGTTTTGCAATTTTTTTTTATGCCAAAATATAATTATGTTAGTAACACCAATATCTTGAGAAAAAAAAGCATTGGCTTTGGCATTGGTTGGTTTCCCAAGAGTAACCCTACCTGAGACGCATCTTAAAGTTTCGTGAAATCAGCCCCTGGTCTCTTTTACCTTACGTGTGATCTGTCACTGTCTTATTTATCTTCGCCTAGGCATGTGCAATACAACTAATGAGTCAAGTCCATATTTCGCACTACTTCGGCTGTATAAGCTAATTCAGTCATGGCTTATAAACCCTAACCCTGCTATAAATGCAACAGAAAGCAACAAAGATAAAAAGTTGTTGTATCTTGTTGCATTTAGCAGGGTAACTGCTCATAGTGCCAAGGCAAGACAACAGAATCCACTGTTGCAGTTTGTTGCATTTTAGGTTCTCATTTCAGTTGTGTTGGATATTGTTGCATACCTGAAGAATATCCGAGGGGAGTTAGGGATAATTTAATATTAAGTTTCTTAAAATGTAATTAACTGTATGTTTCTTGCCTGATTGATTTCTTTTTTTTTAATTACCACCCTTACACAAGTGTGCTATCGGCCTTCAAAAGGTCCAGGTTTGTAACCATTGGGAACTCACGTTTAATGTACAGGCAATATAACAAAAATATCAGCGAGACGGTGACATTCTTGGGTTTCTGTAAGATACACTGTCTCTGTGAGACACCAGATTTGAATTTGTAAAACGGTTTTGAGAAAAAATTGTAAACGTCATGTGTTGTTGTTGTATTTGTAAACCACGTGTAAATAAGATTTTAAAGAAAGATGAGGATTGAACTCAAACGTTTCCTCTGCCGATCTTCTTATTTTTGTGAAGGAGATCTGTCGCATGTCTGATTGGACGGAATACGTCAGAAGTGACCAATTGTATCTGCTCGTTTGCCTGACAAAAGATACACGCTGGCCAATCAAATTGTGCCAAAGGGCAATTCCGTAAATTCGGACGTACATGCCAGACGCTTTAATGAGATGTTGTTGGAAAAGTGAATGTGATACATCACTAATAATGTGACATCTAAAGAGTAGAAAACAATTACAGTAGAGTTTCGTTAATACCAACTCGTTCGGATCTAGCCAAATTGTTTGTTATATCAGAATTTTGTTTTAAGAGGAACATCAGTCCCATTCATTGTTCACATAAATGCACAGTCGGGACCAAGGCTTTATGTTTGTTATAACCAGAATTTTGTATTAACAGAGTTTGTACTAACGAGATTCGACTGTACGAACCAACCTAAGGTACGCCACCACTCTAACGACCTCGTACAAGTACATCATGTGGTCGGACGTACGTTGATGTTACGGAATTGCCCCAAAATAAACATGAACAAGCAGCCAGTAAATGTGAGTTCTTGGCCAGAATCTGACTGTCAGATTTTCAGGGAATGTCCATTTAATTTGATATTCTTGCCCACCAATTGTACATTAACCACTGATTAACAAAAAAAAAAAAAATGAAAGATATTTTTTTGTGATAAGAAATAAGTAATTAAATAAGTATGATGTTGGAGGAATTATTATTTGTTAAATGCATCACAGAACAAAGATAGAGTTAAGTAGTAGATGTAGAAAAAGCATGCACTGTAGATAATGCTTTAAATGTTATATTGATAGCACAGATGTTGGTTGCTAAAACAAAGTACCGATAAATACATTATATGTCGTGCCACATTATCCGTATCTTGGACTAACGGGAATTGGGCTATAGTAATGACGCTGTTTCACATGTTTTCCATAGTGTATTGTACTTTGAACACGTTTAACCTGGTATTGAAATCATATTTGCTTCCATTCTTCAAACAATTTGCTATTCCTGAAAGGAAAGAAATCGTTCACGGGACTTCTCAGAATTTTCTAGACTGAAAAGTGTGGAGTGCTGTGGCCTCGTGGTTAAGGGCACTGGATTCGTGGTCTGTGGGTCAAGCTGCAGGTTGTGGGTTGGAGTCCAGCCCGGGGTCATGGTGCATGTGCCCTTGGGCAAGGCACTTTGTCACTCATTGCTTCTCTCCACCCAGGAGTAAAATGGGTACCTGTGAGGGCAGAGATGGTTATTGTGATTGAATTAGCTTCCTTGCGCCTAACAGGCTGCATTGAGCTGTATACTCCCCAGGGAGCTGAGATGGTATTTGGAATGTTTAATTGGCCCAATGATCAGGGGTAATAATAATGTAAAGTGCTTTGATCTTAGTTAAAAGCGCTATATAAGAACCCGTTATTATTATTATTATTATAAAAGCAATATTTTAACATTAGAAATGTCACTTATAAAATGTCAGTATCCATTGTGCTGTGCACTCATGTACTATTTATTGAAATAACCACCAGTCTGTACACATTGTTACCTTTTTTCCCTTTTAAAAATCCAGTCACAGTGATTCGTTATCCTGCGTTTATACAACGCCTGAATAAATCCCCGTCATCTGATTGGTGGATTGTTGATCACGTGTCATTGAATTATTCGTCCCAACGCATGGCACGGCTGCATGGCAAAAAGTAGAAGTTACATTCCACGGTAAACAGGACTTCCATTGCACGGTCTTGCTATTGGTTGCGTTATAAAACAGCTCTGATGGCTCTAATGCTGTACATTCATACCAGTTTACAAGGAACCAATCAGATGACGAGGATTTATTCAGGTGTTGTATAAAACAAATAATGAATGTTTCTCATTCGTGCAATGCAAATAATAATTTCATTCAGTGACAGATGGAATGTTCCATTCCACTTGGATTCGCTTCATGGAACGGAACATTCTGTCTGTCACCTCATGAAATTATTCTTACCATTGCACTCATAAACATTCATTGTTTGTGTACTAAAATTCAGAGTTCCCAGTTACGAAAAAAAAATATTTCAGCATTCGTCTTGCCAATTTTTGGACAGATTTAAGGAAATTATATCTTCCATTTGTAATTTCACACAACACAGAAGTCGGCATCTACCGATTTTTCTGTACATAGTCATTGAAAAAAAAATTGCATGTGTAGATATTTCAGATATACAATCGGCAAAGCTTTCAATGTTGTTTGTGTATAAAAACAGAGAAAATATGTTAATTTTGTGTTTGACCATAATAAACAGGAGGTAAATAGAGAAGCATCGGTAGTAGTAAAGTCAAATGCTTTTTAATACAGCTGGTAATGTGAGTTAGCTTTTTTCCCTAAATTCTAGCTTTTTTCCTGTATTTCTTGCAGTTTTCAATCCTGAATTGCAGAAACTGCGAGACCATGCACTCACGGTGTACATTCAAGACTTTGCATATTCCTTCTGGTATCTTTTTGTTCGCTGTTAACTTTTGTACAACTTCCCTCATTAGATTTATTCACGTTGGCAGCTTGCCAAAGTAGAATGTGTTGCCATCTTATGCTGCATCTTCTATACATACACTTGATGTAAATGTTAATGAAAACCAAAAAAATTGGTGAAGGCTGGTAATTTTTTTTGATACACTACATGTATTTGATGTGTAATCAAGAAAACTATTCAGTATTGGTTTTTTTCCTTCACTGACGTATTTTTACAAACACTGTATATTCAGTGTTGCCCCGATCGTGTAATTGTGAGAAAAATTCTCAAACTACTCGGGTTGGACTCGAACCCACGACCTCCTGCTTGCTAGTGCACTCAGGATAACACAGTGTTTATGAAAATATGTCAGTGAAGGGCAAAACCTAATCTTGGCCCAAAACGCTAGTGATCCATAGTGGATCGTACAATTATTGTACCCTCAAACGGAAAAATGATTAGACCAGCGCACCAACTCGCACTAACATAAAAACAGTTGTGCGAGGGCGCTCTGCAACACTAACTTAAATCACTATTGATCACTGATGTCTTGGGCCGAGACTAGGTAAAACCCAGTATTAAATTTACATCACCTAGACAACGCAAATTCCATCATATGAAGAAAACTTTTGTTGACTTCAAATGTTTGTGGAAATGTATAAACAATAATTACAAACATTTTTTAAGTAAAAGTTCACAATTTTTTTAACTATTATTGTGATAGAATTAATTTTTCAGTTTTTATTTATGACATAAGTCTTCTAGGAATGACTTGTTTATTTGCAAAAAAAAAAATTGTTTTCATTGTGTTTGGTGACATTTATAACTTGCAGCAGCAAAGTTATTATTGATGACAGCTGTATAAATGTGTCTCAAAAACATTGTAAAAAAAATCCACCATTGACCAACTAACAACTAAAATTCAGAAGATTTAATCATCCATATACATGTACATTATACATAAAAATGTGATTTGCATTTCTTTGTTTTTTCTATGTTAATCCAAATACCGAACAATCGCTGTATGATGAGCTTTTTTTTGTGCTGTGATTTTGTGCAATAGATGATTGGGCAGAAATAAATTTCGTAAAAAGTATTTGTGATTTGTCTGGTAAGTGGTGTTGGTTTGTTTTTATGAATGGTATGTCTCATTCCACAAATTGGAACAATTAACCCATAATCCTGGTGAAGGGTTACAAAAGTGATAAAAGCGCGATAAAAGCCATATTATTACCCGTTAGAATCCCACCTTCCCCTGACTGGCATAAGTCAGTTTCAATGGCTGTTATTTAGTTAAACACAATTTGAGAATACAATAAAGTGAAAAATAAAGTTTAGAAACAGTTGAACATTAAAGTTTTTTTTCTTTTAACTGTCATAACTTTGCAAATTTTCCTTTTTCGAATGGATATATCGCATTTTGGAAATTAGCCCCTTTATATACATAGAATGAATCTATGGAAATAGTACTCTGGGGTTTGATATTATATATTTTTAAATTTTTTTAGGATTGTGAAAATCATTTAGATAAATCTGTATTGGTTGGTTATATCGAGAATGAGAGACTCGCATGATTATTTATTTATTTATTTATTTTATTTTATATCTTTGGACAATAATTAAAAATCTATTAAAAAGCAAAAGTAAAATTGTCCTGGTCTAGACAAAAGTTATAAAGAGATTTTATTCCTGAAAAAAGGGTTCACTTTTTGCTGATGTAAAAAATCTAGACCACATTCTGTGTAATTAAGCAATTTGTTATCAGCTCGATCTCAGTCTTTTTTCACTTAGTAGTAGTCAAGATGATTTATATCCCCAAACAAAAATCAGGGAAAAAATATTTTAGTGTAAAAATACTATGCAGGTTAGATCAGTGGTTTACACAAACTTAGCAATAGCGCCCTCTATTGCCGGTCCGGGTCGGTGAGCTGGGCTTCAAATTTTGCGAGTTATTTTCAATGTTCTTACTCCCCTTGGAAATATACTTGCCTGCCCTGTTGGTGCCAATGTTTTGCGCTTCAGTCTCGCAGAAAATTCTATATTACTGCCGAATCTGAACAGAAACGTAAGTAAATAGTCACGGAATTCTGTTTGAAGCGGAAATTTAGGTAGAAATTTTAGTTTGGAACGAATAAATGATTATTTTGCTGGTGGGAGCGGCTTGCCACTGGGGAGGACAAACACCATTGACATGAGCTGTCTGCGTGCGCTTTCAGACAGGACCATTTGTAGCCCAATTGTGCTACTAAAAAAAATGAGCCGCAAGTCCTGCTCGTAAGCGGCATGCACGATTTCGTCTGGTTGGGAGAGGGCGCCGTATTGGGCTTGTTTGAGCGCGCACACACTTTAGCGGCCGCTGCTGCTGTTTTGTACCTGTGCCGAAGACACTGATCGCGGCGAAACTGTGATTTTTAATTGCTTTTTCTGTGAGGATTTCTAACGCAAAAGTGGATATATTACAAATTTGTGGTGAGTTGATAACATTGCGAATTTCCGTATAAAATTTCATCTTGTATAAAGGACGCACAGTATGTTTTTACTCGCCCCAAACATCTCGTGTGTTTTATCCGTATTCTGTTCCGTGTAAACCACACGCAGCCAGAGATGTGCAGGCGTGCCGTTGTATTTTGAATTGCTTCCAATCCACCGCCTTTCCACCTGATCGCGCCTGCAGTGTTTCGGGTGTCAGGCGAGACAAAATACCCAGCGTTTTTCACATCTTTGGGATCGTGTTCTGTGAAGACGGTGTTTATATCATGCTTGCATTTGCAAGTGGAGCATATCAGAAATGTGGCAAATTTTGTAAGTGGAGGTGGTGGCAACACATGCAACACGACTCAGGACTGGAGCATTGACGTCCAGCATAATTAAATGAATTTAATTTGGGAGGGTGATCGTGTAGTGTAGGGCCCCTGTTTAGTTTTGATCAAAGTAGAGTAAAAAATGTTTTTTATTGCTCAAAAATTACCTTTTCATTGCTCAAAAATTACCTTTTCAATCAAAAGCAGACTTCTCTCAATTCTAATGACAACCGTTTTGTAATTTTGAACAGTTTCTTGGGGTAGAAATCACGAGTTACATGTAACAAACTAAGTATTTTCTAACAACATTGCAAATGTTTTACAGTCTCAGTTTTAGAATCATGTCTTTTCAACATTTTGCCTGACCAGTAAAAGTGGCGTCAGGGTGCAACATTCTTTCCCTTTCCTCTATTGACAACATAAGGCATGTTAGGTACACCATGTACACAGCTGTAGTGCTGACTTTCACTTAGGTAACAAGTTAGGTTACAAAACGAGCACTTTGTCAAAAGTTGTTCCAAAAAATTGCCTATTTAATAAAAAAAAAAAAGTGCACTTTTGCTAATTTTGAATAATAATAATGTGTTGGAATGTCAATAGGCCCCCTACACACTTGTTTCTTTAAATTTTTGGGTTAAGAGAATCAATAATTGCTGTACGATATCACTCATCGATACTCTGACATGTCTGATTAAAATGAAACAGAATATTCTAACATTTCTATTTTCTACGCATAAACTGTTCAACATTAGCATAAGGACATTATCAAAATACAGACTCTTTACAATTACTGAATTAGACCATTGACATTGAAAACACTGCAATTGGCAGAGCATAGCCTAAGTAAAGTACAGTACATGTAGATAATTTTATTAATACATAGGCCTAGGCCTACATATTACGCAAGTAGTAAACGTGTGTACAGTAGGCCTGATAGTCTTTGAATAATATTGAAAGATGCTCTTGTGTGTAGTGTCCACAGCAATTGCTGCTTTCATGCCAGTATTTTCAGCTAGAACTTCAAGAAGATTTGAAAACCTGTGTGATCGAGAAACAAGTTTTGTTTTGGGCATTGGCCTACAGTCTGCAGTCTGGCACACTTGTTATCGCCTGGACGCCTTTATTTTGTGGTGACCCTGTACATTGTGTGGGCTGAGTATAATCCTAGATGATGAGTCAGTGGAGTGATTCTTTACCCTATTCATGGAGAAATAAAACATTTCTCCATGCCCTATTCAACCACCATGGATGCTAAGCCTTTTGAATAATTGTGCACTACCTGTACACTCTGTGTGCACACACCATGGAGCTATATGCACAAATTAGATTAAACGCTGAACTGAATGACATAAATGTGGGATCGCTGGAAAAGCCAATTTTAAAACTTCTAATCTGTACAAGGCTGCATACATAAATACGGGTACCGTATAATGAGCAACGTTCTTGGTGTTACTAATTGTACCAGTATGCATGGATTTAAGATTACTTTATTGAGCATTTTTTTTTAGTAGCTAAGTGATGTTGCACGTATTGTATTTCAACAGTATCTTTAGTGTGTATCCGAAACGCTGAACCCCAGCAAAAGCTTTGGGCTGATTTTCGACCTACGTGTAAGCTGCCAATTTATAGCTAATGATAAAATGAAAATGGACCGAAGCGCCCTCTATCTACGTACATACATGTATGCATACGCGTACGTGCTTCCCTGAAAATGATCAGGTATTGAAGATAAATCATTCATGTCGCTTCAAATACAAACTATTTATGACTTGAACCCTACACACAAAACTGTGCAATGTACTAGTGCATACCAAATCCCCTACATGCAGTTCTAAAATGTGTGGAATCTTATCAGGTTAAACATGGTTAAATGCTTAAAAAATGTAAAAATAACCCGTCATATTAAAGTGTATCCAACTTTGATAATACATGATGTACACGTATGTTACTTGTAGTACTTAACATGTACTTCATTTTTAGAAAAGGGCACTGCAAGGGTTAACAATTTACAAATAAATGTATTTTCATGAATAATTTTTGAGTTTTTGCAACGCAACATTTTTTATGATTTGCCCTCCTCCTCCCCCCCCCCCCGCAAAAAAACCCAAAACAACCAAATATGTAAGGATATGAAATGAAATAATGTGAATTCTGACTTGTCCGACATCACGCGTATTCAACTGCCTATTCATATATGCAGTCATAGCTGCCCCCACACTCGGCTTACTCAGCCAGACATCAGTAGTACGCAGCGTACGGAGAGTATAGAGAGTATAGACCCGTCATATGACTCATTGTGTGATTCATGTCCAACTACCACCAGACATGACAACTGCACTTGCGCCTCTGGCTGCATTCACGGTTCCAAGTACCTCTTTTTGAAATTATAATTAAATCTCGACCGGTTCATCGAATGCGAAAAAAACAAGAGCGTTTTTTTTTTGGCATCAGGCCGAACGTGATCTTTGTAAAAAAAAAATTTAAGTTGTGTGGAGCAAGGGCAGAATTGTGCACTGTCCTCCATTGCATTATGTATGCGTATCATAATAATTTGATTGTAGCACCGAGACAGAGTTTTGTTTGAAAATTGACTGCTTCTTTGCAAAATGAATTACCCTTCACATAAGTTAGTTATTAGAATCGGATTAGGTGTGATTCTCATGTATGTAGGCCTGCATGAACACATGACGTATGCTTGTGTGCAATAAATAATGGACCCAGGTACGTCTCATCTCATTTACTTCAATTCATGTTCAGTTGACATGGTTAAAGTCTGCCAGTCAGACTGATATCACGTCACTAAAATGAGATCGTTTTCATTCTTCATATCAATTTGTGGGTGATTTGATTTACTCGAAATTGCAGTAACTAAAATGTATGCACTCAATTTAGGCCAAACAAAATTGTGTTTTTACGGTATTATGTAATGCCCTAAAAAATTATCCAGGTAGGTACATGTACAATGTAGGTAGGAAAATGTATTTTTATTTGTATGTCGGCCTTTTATTCTTTATTTGTTACTTAAGGATACCTTTAACTGTTTTCTGTTTAATTAACCTGTTGTATTGTTTAACTTAACCAATAACACACACAAAAGTTGCATGGGAACCTTAATATATTTTATTTAAATTTTATTTAATTTTTTTTTCCAAATGTGGCATTAAAAAGTTGGAGCTCAGCAATTTGGCCTAAAAAAAACATTTTGTATTTCAAATTGGGAGTTTTTGGGAATTTAGGCATTCTAGCTTGGAAACCTGCTGACAAAATGTTGAAAGAAAATTTACATGATAAAGAAATGCGCATTGTTAGATGTGGGTGGCAAATCTTTGAAAATATTTTCAAGGAAACATAGATTCGGGTAAGGACGAAAACCAAGGTCACATGTTGGCCTGTGACAGGGGGATGTCAACCTGCGTCGAAGATCTGAAATACATTGTATTTGTAAGAGCCTAGAAATAGTAATGTTGTTAACAAATACGTTTATATGTACGTGTGAAAATCCCCTTACGAAATTCAGTTATTTAATTCAGTTGAATATTTCTGTATACTATAGATAACACTGTGTACGTGATATCTTTCTCCTGTTTCAAGCATCAATCTTCATTGGCTAATGTATATTTTTACTGAAGGCAATAATTATGAGTCATGTCTGGTGACCTGAACACAGCGCCAAGGAAGAAGTCAACAGATCCCGGGAGTTTTATTGCAACCAGTATCTCTCATACAATTTAAACAGTCCTTTTCAAACAAATCATCTTCGTGGAAACAAGTCTTCATGATTGGATGATTGATGGAATGCTGGCGGTCAGTAAAACGCTCGACTTGAAGTTTGTTGTATCTGGTTTTATAAACACATGTATGTGTATAACTCGCTAGAATAGATTAAAGGGGCTTCCTTTTTTTTTTAAAGTGTTTTGTTGCGATCCCTACATCGCACTCATCGGGACTATCCACATGCCCCTGTCACTCAATTCTGTTCCGCTGTGTGGCCGCGGTTTGACAAACCAAGCCAACCGGAGAAGTGAGAGAAAAAAAAACCCTACGCATTTGTGCCACAAAAGGGTAAATTGACCCCAACTCCTGAGGCACTTTTGCTTAGATACCACCACAATCCTGTAAAATCCTCCAACTTCCTCCATGTAAAATTTACATACAGCCTCAATACTGCAAGATCCTCCGTTATTTCTTGAATGTATCCTTGGAGGGGTGACCACTGCCTCAATCCTGCGAAATCCTCCGGCAATCACTGTCAATATGTTGAGGCAGAGACAGTGACATCCTTTTATTTTTTACCATCAATAACCATGTATATATCTATGCCTTACTACAATACCAGGCATGTACCGGAACATGTAGGTCTCTGAAGTACATGTATAGTCATTATCAGCAGTAACCATCTTTGTACAGTTCCCTGAGGATGACATAGTGTCGAAAAGCAAATTCTTAGGTATGAATCATAGGCACCAGTCTAAATTTGTCTTGCATGCCATGCCGTATTTATGTGCCCATATGTTGCACAGACACTTTTGGCAAAAGAAACCAACTTGCTTAAAGGTAGAGTCCATCATTTGCAGCCATCCGAAAAGTAACTGGCGTAATTATTGTTGAAAAACTAACTTGGTTGAAAGATAGTAAGGAGACTAAACTCCCTGTGAAATTATTCTTTCT